ATTCTGGTAAAATAAGCGTAATCTAGAGGCCTTTGCCTTTCATATAAGCCACTTCTGATACCAAACGATCAACCAGATTTCAAGTTATTATTTGTTGTTCCTAAAACTTGGATAGGCGACAAGACTTTTGTCAGGTAGTGTACATGTGGCTCCTGATGATACAATAAAGGTTTATAAAACAAAACAATCAGTCTGTGCTAAAAACTGAACATTATTAACAACATTATTACCTTTAATCCACATTCTCAGCAAACTTAAGCATATTCACAACAGTGCCAAGCAAGAACTTCGTCACCTTAGAATTATAAGGTTTTGTCAAAATTGAGTTATTGACATATTCTGATTAATTGACAACTTATTTACATTATGCAATGTTTTTTATAAGTCGTTTACATTTTAAGCCTCACATAAAGTACCAAATAATTCATTCATTCATTTTCTTTTCGGCTTAGTCCCTTTATTAATCTGGGGTTGCCTCAGCAAAATGAACCACCAATTTATGCAGCATATGTTTTACACAGCGGATGCCGTTCCAGCTGCAACCCATCACTGGGTACACAACATACACACTCATACACTACGATAATTTTTTTGCAAACCCAATTCACCTATTGACCTTATTCTTTAATGCAGGAGTGAGCTCGTTTTTGTGATTGAACTTAAGTTGCCTATAAGAAACGACTAGGAATAATAAATGGCAGAGAACAGTCAATCTACTCGCTATACAAACAAGTGTGTTCACGACTATACAGACAAAGTAGAATAATATAATGAGAAAATATCAGTTTGCAACATCAAGCAGCGTAACGAGCTGTTTTTAACATAATTGGAAGTGAATGAGACCGGAAGTCTCGAACCAAACTGATTCAAATGGCTGTGCTCACTCATACACGGAGAATAATGTGAATACTGCATGTTTTTGAACTTGTGAGGGAAACCGGAGCACCCGGAGGAAACTCCGCACAGAAATGCCAACTGACCCAGTCAAGGTTTGAACCAGTGACCTTCTTGCTGTGAGGTGATTGTGCTACCCAATGCACCACCGTATCGCCAGACACCAAATAATGCACTTATCATTTCTTTGTTTTGACTCGAATATTAAAATCAATGTTAGTGTTAATATTAATATTACTATTAATTCATTCATTCATTTTCTTGTCGGCTTAGTGCCTTTATTAATCCGGGGTCGCCACAGCGGAATGAACCGCCAACTTATCTAGCAAGTTTTTATGCAGCGGATGCCCTTCCAACCGCAACCCATCTCTGGGAAACATCCACACACACATTCACACACACTCATGCTATTACTATTAATATCACTCTTAAAGTATGTGTGAATAACAGATAAATAACTCATTTTAAACGGGGCACCAGCGACAGCTCCTGCTGTCACAATAATTAATCAAATATTGTTCATTGAATGATACAAATGTAAAGGTGTTTACAATTTGGTCAAATCTGAAGGATAATGAAATCGTCTGACTTGTAGAGCCTTTTACTGCAACACAAGGAAAACGCAAATTTATAAATGAGTATTTATTAACAAAAGAATAAACAAGAGTAACTAGAATCACTAAATGTACTACAAATTAAGTGCATAGGCATGAATTATAAAGGTGGTTAAGTTGAGGATTTGTGATAATTACTCTGTTATCTTTTCTAAAAGCGGGCTAGATTGTGATAAGGTAAACCTTATTCTAAAATATCAAACAACAGGAAGTTTTTAATTATTAATGACTATCAGTTATAAATATATACATAATTAGAATATCTTATACTGAAACACACTATGCCAAGGTCTTTGTTAAAGGTTTGGAAAGTGATATATTTACGCTTCTGTTGTTGATGTGGTTTAGAAAACTGGATCTTCCTGCAGATCATGATGCATGGAACAAGCAGACATGGGTCTCTTGAACTTTAAGCTTTGGAAAGAAGAAAACTGGAGATTCTGAAACACGCAGGCTGGGGATTTCTGGAGGTGGTGGTTCTATTGTCCACCACCTCAAAATATTGATTAGGTCAAGAACCTGTTTTGCAAGTTTTGGCCTCTTAACATCTCTGTCCTTCAGAAGAATGAAGGACAGATGGTTCTTCACTGTCTTTATTGACACTTTTATCTTACTAAACAAAACAACATCAACAAAAGTACACAACATTTGTTTATATTGAAAATTTAAGTTCTTGATTTTACCACTGATCGCTACAAAACTTTATAATGTCTGTTCAAAATCACTCATTGCTCTGTTTTTCACTCTTTTGTGATATAATGACTGTTGAGTTGATGTCTGCTGTGTAGCTCATCTCATTGCAAGCACCCGTTTTTAAGCAAAAATTGGCCCAGACTCGCATTCAAGTTTTTTACTTTAGTTTCTGGAGGGCAAGGTAGAAAGAAAATGGAGGGCCCCAGAGGTCATGCACTGGGGCTGTTGTTTTCAGGCAAGTGTCTGTGGGGGCAAACAAGGGAAAGCAGCTGTTTCTGTTCTATTTCCTGTGATCAGAAAGCCTAAACTAGCAGTGAAGCTGTAGTATATCAACACTGGTGCTGGTAATTATTCAGTGGACAAAATGTGTTTTCCAGGAGGTGCAACTTCTCAGTGGCAATGTCTTTCTTCTGTTTCATATTTCCTCTCATTGTTCAGCCTTTAGGTGTGTGTTTGTGTGTGTGTGTGTGTGTGTGTGTGCGTGTGTGAGTGCGTGCGTGCGTGCGTGCGTGCAGGCGTGTGTGTGTGTGTGTGTGTGTGTGTGTGTGTGTGTGTGTGTGAGAGAGAAAGGTTTTAAAACTACATTGTAAAGGCACAATGTGTCATTTTTCATTTAAGTGAGGTTTATTTATAAACTAATTTCGAGAGGATCACGTGCTTATGATTTTCCACAGCCGGTCTTGCATTAGCTAATCATGATCTTCTAATCATATATTTCCTAAGTTACTATGAATAACCACAGTCTTCAGTCCACATTTATCTTTGTCTGGAAGAACCCCCCCCCCCCCCCCTTCCTCCCCATTCTCCTCCTTTTTCATAGATCGGGTGGCCCAGTGGCCCAGTGGTTAGCACTGTTTGCCCCACAGCAAGAACACTGCTGGCCATGGGCACCGCCAGGCCGGTGGGTGTTTCGTTGAGGAATTTGTATATTCTCCTTGTGTCCACGTGGGTTTCCCTCTGGTTTTCTGGTTGTCTCCCATCATCCAAAGATATACATAATGCATAACAAATTTAGCGAATGAGGCACTTGTCTAGCTCCCTTCCTCCTCAAGTATTCACTTAGCTACTGCAGCCGGGGAGTTTTTGAGATCCACCTGAGCTCCAGCTCCCCTCTCGCTCTGCGAACGGGAGGGAGCCCTGGGCTCGAGGATCACAATTTTCTGTATTGTGTAACACAATTTTCTGTATTTTATTAGACAACATAACAGATCCCTAAAAGGTATTTAGTAAAATAAAACAGCGATCCACTGCTTTCGTGTCACATTACGCTCTTCTCTCATCAGCAACTGCTTCAGCAGTCTCATTTCTCTTTCAGTTTGAATACTTTACCTCATCCATGAACAAGATTTCTTCAGGACTTCTGTAGGATGTAATGAAGATGACAACTCCCATGATTCCACACTCAGTCACGATATATCAAAACTACACTTTTGTTTGTAGTGAATATGCATCCTCTAGAGGAGAAAATGACATACTGTGCCTTTAATGAGGAAGTTCACACAAAAATCCAAGCTCTGTCCTTTACTCATAATTTTGCAACCTAGGCTCATTCTGAAAACGTAGCCCTAATATACGTTTCTGGAGCTCAAGAATTATGTAGCTAGAAGTATGTATGCCTGCATTTCATCGTTAACAGCTTTACCACTGTTACTAGTTTGTCCCGTAGTTTGACATGTAAGTCGGCAGACTTGAGATGCAGAGAGGAGTTGACCACGATGATGGGGTTCAAGTCTGGTGAAGAACAGTTTCAGAAAGCAGGTAATGCAAAAACAGAATCCAAAAAATAAAACAAACAGGTAAATAACAAGGTATGAATGTGGTAAAATCTGAAAATATGGTAAAAAAAAATTCAGGTGAGGGCTTTTCTTTTTCTGGATTGCTTTCAGAACTCGATTGAGTTTAGCGAAGGAGGAGGGTGTAGATTGTAGTCAGTAGATTGGTCAGTCATTCAGTCAGTTGACAGCGGCCTCTGGTGGATTTATGTGAGAACAGCAGGTGTGAATGGCACTTGTGAGAGAAATTTGAGATCTTAGAAATCGTACACAGCACCTCTGGTGGGATCGCGAAAACAAAAACTGAAAAAAATCTAGCTCTCAAGACATATTTCCCGCTCTCCATAAATGTATATAGCGGTACGTTTTCAGAATGAGCCTGGGTTGTAATTTTGCTTGTACAATTACAGTCAATGAGAACTTAATCTGCTTGATATAGCCTAACATGTAAAAAAAAATTCTATACAATGAAACAGGCTTGAGATGACACTGTTAAATGAGGACAGATTTTGCAATTTTCGGGTGAAGTTCCTGTGCTGAATCTAAATGCTGATGGCTGTTTAATGATCTCCATCTCTGTACAGTCACCTTCACAAATATAAGTCTTATACAGAAATAATTTGTGATCTTTAATGCTGTCATAGTGTGCTCATTGTATGGTAACTTGTCTGGCTATAAGAAAATATCAGACATTTATTGTACAGGATGGGAATTTAAATATATCCTTTTGCTGCTTGTTGTTTTGCTCTGGCTGTCAAATGGTCTGTTAATTTCAGAAAATTTATAATATACAGTATGGAGTTGTGATATGTAATTTGAAGTCCTTTATGCTGCTTTCTTTGATTATTGTGTGTGTGTGTGTGTGTGTGTGTGTGTGTGTGTGTGTGTGTGTGTGTGTGTGTGTGTGTGTGTGTGTGTGTGTGTGTGTGTGTGTGTATGTGTGTGTGTGTGTGTGTGTGTGTGTGTGTGTGTGTGTGTGTGTGTGTGTGTGTGTGTGTGTGTGTGTGTGTGTGTGTGTGTCTTTTAGAGTGCAGCAGCAACACAAAGTCCAGTGATTGGGAGTCCACCTGGAGACGGTATGCCTTTACCTCCTGGATTTTTCCAGGTAAATGACACATTTTCCATGAATAAAACACAAACACACACTCACACACACACACACACACACACACACATATATATATATATATATATATATAGTTTTTTTTTTTTTTTTTCCATATGTGATATTAACCTTAGTTAAACAGTGTTGATCAAAACTATAATAGTTAATGGTCCAGTAAAGTTAAAAATTTAAAAATTAGATTTTTGTTTTTGTTTTGTTGTGTTAGTTTTAAGGATAAAATTTATGTTTAGCAAATATAAAACTAATATAAACATCCAAAGCTTGCAGTTTGTTCACAGTTGAGGGAAAGATGGAACGTGACATTGACAGGTGGATTTGTGCAGCAGCAGCAGGTATGTGGTCAATGTACAGTACCAGTCCGTTGTGGTAAAGAAGGAGCTGAGCCGAAAGGCGTACCTGTCATTCCTACTCTTACCTATGAGTCATGAGTTTTGGGTCATGACCTAAAGGACAAGATCTCGATACAAGCAATCTCTGTCAGCCGGGAGGAGCTCAGAGTGAAGCAGCTGTTCCTCCACATCGAGAGAAGTCAGCTGAGCTGGCTTGGGGATCTCTTTCGGATGCCTCCTGGGCGCCTACCTAGGGAGGTGTTCCAGGCATGTCCCACCAGGGGGGGGGGCCTCGGGAAAGACCCAGGACACGCTTAAGGGACTATGTCTCTCGGCTGGCCTGGGAACGCCTCGGATCCCCCTGGAGGAGCTGGAAGAAGTGTCTGGGGTGAGGGAAATCTGGGGTTCTCTCTGCTGCCCCCACAACCCGGCCCCCAAAAAGCAGTATAAAATGAATAAATAATTGAAAAAACATTGCCATGCATCAATGGTACTATGTTGAACCTTAATAATTAATGCTATTGTACCTTCACAAGTCACTATTTTAAGGAAGCAATGAATCCGGAATGTTTTTGCACACATGCTAGGAGTAAACCAGTTAAATTGGTAGCCTTTGACTTCCATTGTATTATTATTATTATTTTGCTATACAATTATGGATGTCAGTGACTACTGCTTTCCAAAATGCATCAAATATCTTCTTATTAACTCGATACATATATATTAAATCTCAGTTTGTGTTTTTGTTTGGTACTTTGTTTTGTTTTTTATGTTTTTGTTAAACCTGCTCTATGTACTTTAGCTTTGTTGAAAAGCAATTAATAAAAAAAATCTTTTTTGTGATCAAAATAAAATAAATAAATTATTAAATGAAAATTGGAAAGGTTGGAACCACTACAAGGTGGATAAATGTTTAGCTAATTTTCATTTTAGGGTGAACTATCTGATCATAGTAATACGGATGTGTTGACCTCTGATCCTTTGGAGCTTTCCTACAAATGTGTTCCATGCACTGCAAATAATAATTTTCTTACTTGGATTTTTCATTTTTCTAGTCTAAATATATAAAAATTCTTATATCAAGAAGCATTTTCTTGACAAGCAAAACACATTGTCTTGTTTTCAGAAATAATATGCCAAAATTAAGTGAGTTTTTCCATAAAACAAGCAAAATAATCTGCCAACAGGGTAAGCAAAATAATCTTGTTTTTCCTTTTGACATAAGATTATTTAGTTTATGCCATTGACAGATTATTTTGCTTGTTTTAAGGAAAAAATCACTTAATTTGGCATAATATTTCTGAAAACAATACAATATGTTTTGCTTTCCTAGAAAATTCTGCTTGATTTAAGAATCTTTAGATATGAGTGGACTTACAAGACAAGACATTTTTTTTTCAGTACATTGTGTAAAAATTAGTCTCCAGGCTTTTATCATAAAAACTAGGAAGTCAGAGGAGTTCTTGTTTTATTACAAGCAGTTCTCACATTGGCGATGAAAACAAAAAGTGAACTATTTCTTACATGCGACTCTTTAAACATGTAACTAATTTATTTTTGTCCTATTGATAAGGGAATTTCGAGACATATTCTTCTCCAACAAAACAGTGGCATTGGAGAAAGTATTCAGATAATAACTGACTGAAATACTTTATGAATAGTAAAGTCCTTTTCTTCCTCTGTGATTGACAGCTGAACCGGCAGAGACAGCGCTGAGTCAGGAGAAATTATGAATGAATGGTAAATTAAATATTTATTCAGGCCAAGAAAGCTATATATGAAAGTCTATAAGAGCGGCTTATGTAAGGATTTCCATACTTTCACTTGTCAAATTGAAATAACAGATATGTTTTTTTCAATTATCCGCTTAATTGTCTGTTGTTGTTGTTGTTGTTGTTTTTTTTGTTTTTTTTTTGAAGGAGGATTTGGAGTGCATAAACACTGGGCTGTACATCAGTAATAATGCACCAGAACATGCATTGATTTCCTGTCAGCAGGAAGTCTGAGAGCTGCTGGCCTGCCTGATGTCTATTGACAATCGCTCATTGATAGTCTTAAGCTCAGACTCCAGAAGAATCCAGCCGTCAGCTCTAACAATCCTTTCTCTAGTTTTCCTTCCCAATGCACTTAGTTTGATCCAGATTTACTTTAACCGGTCTGCTGAGATATGTTGTTTGAACTTAACAAATACAGCATGCTTTACTATACTTCTGTTGTAATTGCATTAAGTCCATGTCCGCTGCAAGCCACTGATATCTTTTGAGTTCTGTTTATGGGTAAAACTGTTAAAAAAAATCTACCAGGAATCAAGTGATTTTTAAAATTTTGTTTAAAGGGCACCTATTTTATCCCTTTTACAAGATGTAAGATAAGCATTTGATGTCTCCAGAATGTGTCTGTAAAGTTTCAGCTCAAAATACCTATTTGATAATTTATTATAGCCTCCAGAATCTGCCCATTTTGGTGTCTGAGTACAGTGTAGCTGTTTTTGTAGCTTGTGGCTTTAAATGCAAATTAGCTGCTTCTCCCCACCCACCGTTCATACATGCGTGTCTGCTTCTCGTCATGCGTTACATCAGATAAACAGCAGTCAGTGACAGACAAACTCGGATGAAGCTGAAATACAGCTCATTAGTCAAAAATACCAAGTAAATTTATTTGATGTATTTGTGGTGGTGTTTATTTAAGCCTTTCTGAAATGATGAGTCTCACACAAATGCCGTTTGGAGTACACACAAACACACACACACACACAGAATGTGTACATTTACTGACACCATGTGGCTGTGGTGATTATAGCAGTTAAAAATTACAGTGGTTTTACTGTCTTTAATACAAACATGCTTTGTTTTAAAACCTTTTAAACTTTTAAAACTTATTAAAATTAAAATTAAGAATTGTAACAGATATTTAATCCCTGCTTATTTGCTATTAAAATGTTTCATGGACATGTGGTCAAAATTTTTTGATTCATTTTGGTGGATGTGACAAACTACAAGCTTTGGATGTTATTTTCTAAATCTGAATTTTATCACTGTTTTGGAGAACTCTAGCTTATAGATATCCTTAAGACTGAAATACTAACATCTGAAAAACTTTTATTTTGAATTCACCGAGACTTTAATATTGACATCTAAAAAATTTCCTTTAAATAAAATTTTCTTGGTTTACCTTGAGGAATGAGTTGAAGCCATGTTGTTGATGAACTTAAACTTAACTCAGACCGTTTGACTTCAGCATTGTTGCATCTGTAAAATATGATAGCAGCACCTTTATAAACACAAACAAAAACACACACTGATGCACATTTTTTTTATTTGTCATTTTAAAGATACAAGGGTTAAAGTCCATTCGTTGAAAGGTTGCATTGCTGTTTTATGTTGTTCATTCAATGTGATTTGCATGTGTAAATATGACTTGCCAACTGGAAAATATAAATATGAACACACCATAACTTGACCAAAAACACTGATTATAGGATTTAAAATAGACTTGCAGTGTTGCCATCTGGTGGTGTGATGTATAAAATTCTGTTTTGCCTGCTGTATAAATCGAGAAGAGGTTGTCCTCTGTTCCTAAAAATTGACATGATATACTGTAGACTGAACTGATCAGCTGTTCTCTGTCCTTGTATCTTCTCAGCAGTTTATGTCTCCTCGATACCCTGGTGGACCCAGAGGTTCTCTCCGAATACCCAATCAGGTCTTTCTCTCATATAATCTGCTTTGGGGATTTTTTATTTATTTCATTCATTATTATAATTATTATTTTGTAAGTACCTGACATTGACTAATGCTTAAATCTGAACAGGCTTTGGGGCCTGGAAACCAGCCACTTCTACCTAGTGGGATGGACCCTACAAGACAGCCAGGTATTAAAACATTAAAAATGCTAACAGCACTGTAAACATTCATTCATTCATTTATTCATTTTCTTGTCAGCTTAGTCCCTTTATTAATCCGGGGTCGCCACAGCGGAATGAACCGCCAACTTATCCAGCAAGTTTTTACACAGCAGATGCCCTTCCAGCCGCAACCCATCTCTGGGAAACATTCACACACTCATACACTACGGACAATTTAGCCTACCCAATTCACCTGTACCGCATGTCTTTGGACTGTGGGGGAAACCGGAGCACCCGGAGGAAACCCACGCGTAGGCAGGGAGAACATGCAAACTCCACACAGAAACGCCAACTGAGCTGTGGTTCGAACCTGCAACCCAGCGACCTTCTTGCTGTGAGGCGACAGCACTACCTACTGCGCCACTGCCTCGCCCAACTGTAAACATAGCATTATATTTATGATCAAGCCCACACATATACTTCTTTAACCATCTGAACTAATCAAATATGAAATAATTCCACTATTTTATCTTGAACCTTTTAAATCTATTTCACAAAATTCGTAGACTTTCTTTCAAAACTGGAAATTGTAAAAGTGCAATGTTTTTTGTATACAGTTTACTGCTCATTGCTATTTAGACTGCTAAATTCTTCTCAAGTGTTCAACCGGGCAACACTTGTCATCTTTAACATTGTGTGATGTCATTGTGTGATGTAATCAGCGACTGTCTTCTGGAAAGAGCTTAAGCAAACAATGGCTAACAAAGCTGCTTATTTAGTCATTGGAGTAGCCCAAAATAACTCTACAATTCTTTCCTCCACTGAATATTTATCTAATATGCCAACATCTCTATTTTGTCCCACCATGTTTGAACCCTATTGACAAGCCTTTCTGTTGAGTTTGAGGGAGATCTTGGACTTAATATAAAATATCCTAATTTGTGTTTTGAATACAAACAAAGGTTTCAGAGGTTTAAAATGACACAAGGGTGAGTAATTCATTTGTAGAATTTACATTTTTGGGTGAACTAACTATTTCAACCCACTTTTCACAACAAAGCATTATTAAAAATAGTTGGGTAAAACATTACCATGGAAAAACTATTTTAATTAATTTTTTAATAACATAACAGTTAAAGTATGCAAGCCAGGCCAGCAAACTTGAAGTATAAAAGTACCTCATATATTAAGTGCTAGTTTTAGTGTCTTTATGTGGCCTTGAAAATGTTGGGGAAAATCATTTGTGTTGTTTTTAATCCACTACACTGACTGTGGTTGCTAATTCGATGTATTAATCAATAGATTTTATTAGCAGGATTCAGTGCTCTGACGCACATAGCACACTGAGGACACCTTCTGGTTACCAGGAGGTAATGCAAAAAGAAAAGTGTGAACAAAAAATAAAATAAAATAGATTTTAAATTAATAGTTTACCTTGGTGTGCCTTTAACACTTTATAGTAAGTAACGTTTGATGCTATTTGTCATCTGTCTAGCTGTCTCAAGAGTATAAGTAGACTAATTCGTCACTAATTCGTCAAATGAGAAGCTTCTAGCTGTGTTTTGATTGATTTTAAGATATTGGGCTTTATAGTTTTTACATTCCATAGCAAACAATATGTGTGTAACATTTGTTTTTTTTAAATAAAAAGTCTTAAAATGTAAACAACTTATAAAAAACATCCCATAATGTAAATAAGTTGTCATTTAATAAGAATATGTCAATAACTCAATTTTGAAAAAAATGTCAGATAGACATTTTACTTCTAAGGTGACGAATTAGTAACTGATTAATGCAAGACTTGATTTGATGGCCTCCCAGCAGACATTCTACAGACTATAAGAAACATTGAACAGTGTGTCCGCATTCTTAAATATCTTAAAATGTCTTAAATTTCAAAAACAAAGCTTTAGGCATTAAAAAGTCTTAAATTCACAGACATTATGTCTGGTCATTATGGTCCTTCCTTTCTTTCCTTTGTTTATCTAAAGCTATCCAATCGATCAACACACTTCTAATCATCAACAATACAATTCAATAAAATGTTCAGCTAAACTCTAAACATATCTATTATAACAGTCTGTTGTGTGAACTAGAGTCTACTTGTTTTGACACATTATTTAAAATATGTTGCTAAGAAATAAGAATTTTTTTTTTAGTTTTGATGGGGCAAGTACAATTTTTTTTCTGCTTGACCATTAAAAAGAGTTTAGCTCTATATGAGTCTAAAATTTTATTCTTCATGGTCTTAAAAAGGACTTAACAAGTCTTAAATTTGAAACCTGCAGAAACCCTGTTTGAAATGACATCAACTTATTCTTCAAACCCTAACTAACTATAAGTATGTCTAAAGGGGAACATCAAAATAAAATGTAACTAAATTATGTAGATTCCTTTAGCTACGTTATAATCCACTGTGGAATATGAAACCTGTTTGCTTCCTTTATCCTTTTGTAAGGCCATCCCAGCTTGAGTGGGCCCATGCAGCGGATGACCCCTCGAGGAATGGTTCCTATTGGACCGCAGGTGAGTTATCAATGGGTAATTAGGTAAGTTTGTGATACTGCATTCAATTAAGTGTATTGTAATGTCTTAAATTATTGAATTGATATTCCAGAACTATGGTGGTGGAATGAGGCCTCCCTTAAATGCCCTAGTGGGACCAGGAATGCCAGGGATTAACATGTAATTGTCTTCATATAACTCATTATCATTGCGTAAATACTCTAATATTCACTAGACTAGAGATTGAATTTATTAAAAAAGATTTTCTCAAAAAATTGAAATTTACTCATCCTCAGTTCATCCAAAAATGCAGGCGATTTCGTTTTCATCTTCAGTCGAACATTAAACAGGATTTTTAGCATAAAATGTGGTCTGAAGTCACATATAAATACTGGCTAAACAAAATAAACTGCAGTTTCTTACAGTACATTGAGTCTTACGGAGTGAATGTTTGGTCTGTGCAAGAATCTGAAAGTATTTGCGAAAATACTGTCTTTTACCCACAGCTTGAGCAAATGATCCTCCAGCCTCTCGAGAAACTGTTTAGCAAGATACATATTTTATGAGTTTTGTTTTTACTTAGAAGTACCACTGCAGGACTTGGTTGTCCATTAGCAACAAACAGTTTCCCCAGATGACACAAAAGACAAAAACTGTTTCTTGGAGAACCACATGACAAAGTGACTTGGAAACATGACCTACCCAATGAGGATTTGAGATATTGGATTTAGATCCCATATTGTTTTTGTTGTTGTTCTGCCACAGAAAAGCAATTTGTTACATTGTTTGAAAAGTTGTATATAAAAAGTTATTTTTCATATCATATTCAGTCGTAAGTGTCTAATTACCACACTGGGCCAATGTTGCAAATCTGCAACATCCCAGAACGCCTTGCATGTGAAGGTCTCTCTAAAAAAAAAGTCAGGATTCTATTGTACTACCCTATATGATAATTTTCCCCAAAAATCAGATTTTTCCTGTTTCTAAAACTTAATTTGAGCCTGGGAGGGTAGTGCTGTTGGTAGCCATTGGCATGTATGATTTGGAGCAAGGACCACCTAATTCATTTAAACGTTTTTTTTTATGTTCTGCTGAAGTAAAAAGTCTACATTTTGCATGTTTTGAGGACGAATAAATTAACAGTAAATTTTCATGTTTGGGTGAAAGTCTGAATCTCTATTGCTACTTCTGTATAAAATAATATATCTGTGTACTATATGTAAAGGGGTCCTGCAGGAGGAAGACCATGGCCAAATCCTCCAAATAACAACTCGGTTAGTTCTCACTACATGACATGTAAAAACTGACCAAAACTGCTGTATGTTGAACAATATAAGTATCGGTCTTTCTCTTTGCCCCAGCAGATCCCTTATTCATCCGCATCTCCAGGCAGTTATTCGGTAGGTAATGAAATGCTGTCTAAGGTCTCTTTGGTACCTTCTTTAAGGTAGCTTTGGCTGACCCTCTGGTCATTTGAATAAGCAGAATTAGTGTGTTTGCAGGGTCCCCCAGCAGGAGGCGGCCCTCCGGGCACACCAATCATGCCCAGTCCTGCAGGTAATTATTATCTGCAAAAACGACAACTACTTCAGATGCACCATAGTGACAAGCCGTCAGTGTTGGGGAAAGTTGCTTTCGAAATAATTGATCTACTACAATATTTAGTTACTTCACAGAAAAGTAACTAGTTGCGTTAACTTTTTTATGGAAATTAATGTCACTTTTGAGTTACTTTTTTCATACCTACCTGAGACTTGATCTTTTTCAGAACCTGCGGGGTATTTTTCTTTTTTTTAATCAGAGAAGCTCTGTATTTACTGAAACAGTGTATAATCTACACCTTCATTTACCTTTAAAAAAAACTAGTAAACTAGTCACCTTCTGAGAACTTCCTGACGCTTTACATGCCGTAAATACAGATTAATAAATATTGAAAGGGATGTGTTTGCTACTTTTGTATTTTTGTCTTATTAGTTCAGTAAAACCACTGTTCATTGAGACTATATTGTCTTCCATGTGTTCAAAATAATGAGAATACTTCCATCACAGAAATTTAAAGCTCTGCCATCATGTTTTCTGTCTGTTCCCGTGGGGAGCTCGTTCTCTCATTGAGTGTGATTCAACATGAGTACACTCATTTAAATTCAGCAAACTATTTATATAAATTTTAAAATTTTTACTTAGTTGATCTTTTTTAAAGTAAATCAAATATTATTCCTTAATTTTATGAAGTAATTAGTTACTTTACTAATTACCTAAAAAAGTTATATTATTACGTAACTCAGGTTACTTGTAATGCTCTACCCCCAACACTGCAAGCCATGTTTTCACATCACTTGGTATTAAAGAGATAGTTCACCCAAAAAAACTCACCCTTCACTTTTTTCCAAACCTATCTTTCAAATGTTGAACACAAAATAAGGTATTTTCAATAAATTGGTGACACTCTTTGTCATTGCATATTGCATTCAATGGGTTTTTTCATACCATGATCTAGAATGGCTACCTGTTATCAACATTCTTCAAAAACATAATTTTTTTGTCTAAATGATAAATAAATTTTCCTTTTTTGGGTGAACTATACATATAAAAATGTCAGTGATCTGTTTAATGGTGGTCAGTCGGAACACATTATGTTTCCACCTGGCATCAATTTAGTACTGATTTTAGATTTAGTGTATTTTAGCCTAAAATTTGCTTACCAACATTAGTGAAAACATTCTGAAATTGAACATTAATTGTGCCTTTCTTGTAAGATGCTACAATGGTGTTACAGTATGTGTATTTTTTAGTTATTTTTGAGGTAAAGTTTGCAGTTTGCATTAGCATAGAAGTTATTAGCAACTAATGTAGACAGCATGAATCACACTGCATTGTTTACCCAATACAAAGTCATTTCTTTACCCAATACAAAGTCATTTGTCTTCAATTGCAAAATATAATATGTGATGTGCATTTATTTTTAGAGTCAAACAACTCGAGTGACAACCTGTACATGATCAGCTCAGTCCCACCAAATGGGACCAGACCAAATGTGAGTCTTGCAGTATTTGGCCTAAATATAATTTTTTTTTATATACAGTTGGGTCCATAAATATTGGGACATCAACCCAAATTTTTATATATATATAATTTTTTTTTTGGCTTTTTTTTTTTGGCTTTATACACCAAAACCATCTAAATGATTTTTTTTTAAATGATGCAAACTAGATGTGCTTTAACTGCAGACTGTCCGCTTTAATTTGAGGGTATTTACATCCGAATCAGGTGAACGCTGTAGGAATTACAACAGCTTGCATATGTGCCTCACACTTGTTAAGGGACCAAAAGTAATTGGACAATTTGCTTCTAAGCAGTTCCATGGCCAGGTGTGTGTTATTCCCTCATTATCCCAATTACATTGAATAGATAAAAGGCCATTAAAGATTCATTTCAAGTGTGCTATTTGCATTTTGAATATGTTCCTGTCAACTCCCAAGATGAGATCCAAAGAGGTGTCACTGTCAGTGAAGCAAGTCATCATTAGGCTGAAAAAACAAAACCAACCCATCATAGAGATAGCAAAGTAACAGGGTTCACCAAAAGATGTAAACCATTGGTGAGCCTCAAAAACAGGAAGGCCAGATTAGAGTTTTGAAAAAGCCTTCACAGTGTTGGAACAACATCCTATGGACAGATGAGAGCAAGTTCAACTTGTACCAGAGTGATGGGAAGAGAAGAGTATGGAGAAGGAAAGGAACTGCTCATGATCCTAAGCAGTGAAGCATGGTGATGGTAGTGACATGGTATGGACATGTATGGCTGTCAATAGAACTGATTCTCTTGTATTTATTGATGATGTGATTGCTGATGAACGCAGTGGGATGAATTCTGAAGTGTTTCAGGCAATATTTTCTGCTCATATTCAGACAAATCATGTTTTAGAACTCATTGGACGGCACTTCACAGCGCAGATGGACAATGAACCAAAGCATAGTGCAAAAGCAGCCAAAGAGTTTTTAAAGGGAAAGAAGTAGAATGTTACGCAATGGCCAAGTCAATCAACTGATCTGAATCTGAAAAGAACAAGCAAGAACTGAAGACAGTTGCAGTAGAGGCCTGGCAGAGTACCACCAGGGATGAAACCCAGTGTCTGGTGATGTCTTTGCATTCCAGACTTCAGGCTGTAATTGACTGCAAAGGATTTGCTACCAAGTATTGAAAAGTGAAATTTTAATATATGATTATTCTTCTGTCCCATTAGTTTTGGTCCCTTAACAAGTGGGAGGCATATTTGCAAACTGTTGTAATTCCTACACCATTCACCTGATTTGGATGCAAAATATCTCAAATTAAAGCTGACCATCTACAGTTAAAGCACGTCATCATTTCATTTGAAATCCATTGTGTTGGTGTATAGAGCCAATAATGTTGTAATTGTGTCGATGTCCCAATATTTATGGACCTAACTGTATATAGAACTTTTTTATAAGAAATCTCCTTTCAGTTTCCATTAGGTTCAGGTGCTGATGGTCCAATAGGGAGCATGGCAGGCATGGAACCACATCATATGAATGGTTCATTAGGTAGGACAGATTTAACTAATAAAGCACAATGCCAAACATATATGTATTTTCCATCCATTTGCACATTCTTGCTTTTGCTATTTGGCATTGAATACTTTAAAGCCCTTTCCTTCCATCAATTCAACAGGATCTGGTGACATTGAAAGCCTCCCAAAGGTATGAGATATTTCCGTAAAGTTTTGAAAGACATTTAAACAGTGACCAACATTTCACTGAAATTCATTCGTGGACGGCATCCTCAAAAGTCCTTTCTTTCACTCATCAGAGCTCACCAGGAAATCTCAGCATGAATAATCAGCCTGGCACACCAAGAGATGATGGAGAAATGAGCGGCAACTTCCTCAACCCGTTTCAGAGTGAAAGTGTATGTATGCTGAAAGCCTGTTTCCGAAGGATCATTTGTGTTAAATACAGCTGCAGATATCATTCAATGCCATCTTCTGTCTTACAGTATTCTCCTAACATGACAATGAGTGTGTGAGAGGACAGCACAGGAGCAAAATTTCAAGATTTCACAGTGTTCAGCAAAAACACACATTCAACCTGCTTTTCTACTCATATTGTCTGTGGTGGACTTTTGTGAATTGGAGTGACGTCCTTCTACACCAAATCTGACCAAACTGAAATAAGCTTTGAAAGGATCCAGAAGACATCTACACATTTTTTTCATACATGTGTTTTGTCATTTCATGGTTAATGTCCTGTGTTCTGTTTAAACAAACTCAGCAAAGGTGTGGGGTAAAGTATTTGGGACTCAACTTGGACTTGTATGACTCAATTCGTGACTTGACTGGAGACAAGAAATAAAAGATTTCAGTCTTAACTTTTACTTGCAAAACAATGACTTGGTTTCATCTCGGCTTGAAGTAAGCAGGGAATTGACTTGGATTGCTTGAGTATCACAAATATTGACTTGACTTACTCAAGACTTGAAGGTAAAGACTCAAGACTTGAAGTTTAAAACTTAATATTTGAAGGTTTAGACTTGAGACTTGAAGCTTAAGACAAGACTTGAAGGTTATAACTCAAGACCTAAAGATTAAGACACGAGGCTTGAAGGTTAAACTCAAGACCTGAAGGTTAAGACTCAAGACCTGAAGGACAAGACTTGAGACTTTAAGGATAAGACTCAAGACTTGAAGGTTAACAAACAAGACTTGAAGGTTAACACTTGAGACTTGAAGGTTAAGACACGAGACTTTAAGGTTAAGACACGAGACTTGAAGGTTAACACTTGAGACTTGAAGGTTAGGTCTCAAGACTTGAAGATTAAGACTCAAGACTTGAATGTTAAGACTTGAGACTTGAAGGTTAAGACTCGAGACTTGAAGGTTAAGACACGAGACTTGAAGGTTAACACTTGAGACTTGAAGGTTAGGTCTCAAGACTTGAAGATTAAGACTCAAGACTTGAATGTTAAGACTTGAGACTTGAAGGTTAAGACTAGAGACTTTAAGGTTAAGACTCGTGACTTGAAGGTTAAGACTTAAGACTTAAAGGTTAAGAATCAAGACTTGAACTTAAGAAAAGACTTGAAGGTTAAGACAAGGCTTGGAGGTTAAGACTTGGGACCTGAAAATTAAAGCCTAGTTCACACCACAGGATTTTAAACCTGATTTGAGCCCAATTTGGAAGTTAACGTGCTTGCCGTCAGATCGGGCTGCTATTGGGGAAAAATCTGCGGGTGCTCTGTGCTCTGCAGTCTTTATGTGTGAACTACTAAACATTGCATCAAAGAGGCTTGCTGATGCGTCGCTGACACCTCGTAGACAGAAATCCAATATCTAGCATACTGAATATTCCAGAGCCGACTTGACCCCACGTGCGGTCAGATGTAGTGACAAGCTGCATCCAATGAGAGAGCATATCAGCATAAGTTGAATGGCCGTTTGCTAAGGAACTGAACAGAAACGTCTTTGATTGGCCAGAATGGGCATAGATGCACTTGCTTTACTCTGCGTTAACACGGACACGAGAGTAGGCTACTAGGCTATTAGAATACCATACTGGTCATTCTGACCATTCTCATATAAAACGTCATATTGTCACATCATATTTACATTCAAAACTTTTATTGAGATATTAAAATTAAGCTTTGAATATCTGTCATCATATTTTATGACAACGTTACCTTAAAAATATGATCTTTTTGGTAATCCAGTCTGTAAATATGTAGTTAAGATACTAGAACACGCATATGTCTGGGCCTGGCTTTCATTTTCACTTTCAAACAGGAGCTATTTCACTGCACAGAATATGCTGTTTTGAAAGATATATCTGAAGTAAATTTATGTTTTTGCTATTAGAAAGTTATTTTTTATGTTAGCAGGAAGTTGCTAGGCAAAAAATAAAATAAAATGCATGCATATTTAAAGTCACTGCGAAAAGTAGCAGACATGCATGCAGTCATTTTGACCAATATGATAATTAAAGGTATAAATGCTCAGTTCTTTAATGTTTATATTTTTAAAAATAGCAATGTTAGAAAGAAGTACACAGATATTTAGGAAAAGCCAGGGTTGTAGATAAGTTAATTTTATTTCAAAGAGTTAATAAATTACAAAAATTAAAAACTCTGTATCTATTCACTTGAACCTTGCAGAAGAGTGACTGATGCATCAGCTGACTGACAATGTTTTTAAACGCTCCCTCGAAAGATTGAAACACTGTCAGTGATGTAATCAGCAAACAAGAAGCAAATGGTGTTCATCTTTTTCTGATGACAACTCCCTTGGAAAATTTTATTGGCTGTGGTTTGGTAGCTTGACTGAGCTGTTGGCGAACAAGTTGTTGTCAGATGATGTAGTGTGTGACCCCCCCTCTTGTGGATCATTTACATACTGTCGCATACTGTGAACAGCACAGCGATCTGCCAATGTTGTAAATCCTGTAGTGTGAGCTAGGCTTAAGGTTAAGACTCAAGACCTAAAAGTTAAGACTCAAGACTTGAAGGTTAAGGTACAAGACTTTAAGGTTAAAACACAAGACTTGAAGGTTAAGACTCGAGACTTGAAGGTTTAGTCTCAAGACCTAGTGATCTGCAAAACAATGACTTGGTCCATTATCTGGTACATAGACATTTATTAATGAGTTCAGTCAATTTTTTTTTTCATGTTTGTCTTTTTATATGTAACATTGTTGTACTATGCAGCATGGCTGATTTCCATCAAGCCCTTAGAATCCCAAACATAACCTCTAATCTTGGATATACCATAATTTCCACATTTGCATGGTTATAGTTGAACAACAGAAAAAAAAAGTTAATTTTTTCTAGGTTGGTCCAATTAAAATGAATTCTTGTGCGACTGCATAATTAACGTTGTTTTCTGAACCCTTCGGTTACGCACTTAACAAGTGGACAGATCCCTGAAAAGATGGTCTTGGTCCGCTTTCAACTAAACTAGTATGGTTTGACTGAAATATTAATGCAACATGGACCAAAGACATGTAAATGAACCAAATACAGTACATGGTGTCACAAATTGTGACCATAAAAGGACAGATTTCTCAAGCATACCTGTTTTTCTTTTCATAGTGGTATTGTTGCCCTGTTTATTTTCAATCTTAAAAATGACAGCATGAATGCTACCAGGACAAAATGTATTAATTGTTTGCTTTTTTTTTTTTTTTTTTGTCTGGACCAAAGGCAATGGAACTGTAAGTGTGAATACACCCTACATACATTGTATTTGAATTCACTTTAAATTTAAATGTGTTTAGCCTCCAATTCACTGGATTTGACCAGACAACCAATCTCACTATATATCAAACATAATGTTTTAGCAAACCAAAGGTTGGCTTTGTTTTAGTTGAGCTGCAGAATTAGGCAAATGTACAGCTTATCTCTAAACGCAAAAGACTGAACTTACGATTTTAGGACTCACTTCAAGATTTCGTGTCATATTGAAATTGTTCTTGTAAATACAGCTATCTGTGAAGAATTTGAATATGCTGATATAAAAATCATTTTCACCAATTACAGTATGTGTTTGTGAGCTTTCTAAAACATGCTGGTTTACTGTGATGGGCTATTAGAACAGTAGATTATTTTCCTGCTGACTAGTTGGTCTAAATCAGAGATGCCCAAACTAGGAGCCGCGGGCCAAAGTTGGCCAATGGTAACATTTGATTTGGCCTACCATCCAATCTGAGAAGAGAGGGAGAATGACAGAGATGGTTAAGAGCAGGGGTGTCCAAACTTTTTCTAATGAAAGTGCAAAAGCCAAACTTGATTGAGGGTTGTGCGCTGAAGGTTACTATAGTAGCCATGTTTAATTTATTTAATAATATTTAAAAATAAATAGAAAACATTTCTTTATATTAACTAATACAGAATATTTTTTAAATATTTTATAATAAACTTATTACAGTAAAAACAAAAACAATCGCATCTATGACAAAATGGAATTACATTATTTTGCCGTTGTAACCCCGCCGGTCCTACGCCACCCAACCTGCTCCGAGCTGGTATCGAACTGGCGACCTTCTGCATGGGAGTCGGTTGCTCTAACTACCTGGCCTCTGTTACACCGTAAATTTGCTCGCTGAAGTCTTCTGTGTAGTCCTCTATCCATTGAGTGACCGTATTTACATTTTTGAAAACATTTAATTAAAACATTTCGGTTTGCTCTTTTCTTCTTTTTAGTTCAGCATTAAAACAAACAAAAAAGTTTATGACAAATTAGAAATGATGATCTCATTTAAAGGCATTCACCCCAACCCTCTCCATCCTTCTCCCTCTTTTCAGATGGGATGGAGGGCCAAATCAAAAGCTAAAATGGGCCAGCAGGCCCTACTTTGGTCATCTCTGGTTAAGAGATTGTCGTTGCAAATTTAATGTAACCTGTTATTTGTTTTTTTAATTGTTAAGCTACAAAAAAAAAGCTAATTAAATGTTTCAATTGAAATGCTAATACTTTAGTTTAAAATGTACATCCTGTCACCCGGGGGGATAGAAGACAATGCAGAAATTTTGGTGAGCAAATCAAGGCAAGGGCAGATTCTGCTAGACCAGTGTATTCAGCATTGATCTCCATTGTGTTATTAATGCGATTGTTTATGTTTTTATTGCATTAAGTTATCATTTAAAAAGTTATACTGCATTAGTCAATATGATTCAAATTGATGTCTTTTTTTAAATAAATTTTTTAATATTAGGACATAAATTAGGAAATTACCAATGGAAACTTTAATTTAAAATAGTTTTGTATATTTATCTTCGGCCCACGACTTTCAATTATATTTAGTTTTTGACCCTTTATCTAGATGGTAACTATTATGTTCTTGCTGGATATATTAGAAAACAAAAACAGCATCATAAAATTTAACAGCTTAGAGAGTCAGTGACATATTGGTGAAGACAAACCAACACATCAAGATATGCTGGTCATTTACAGTGTACAGGTCAACAAAACATTTAAGAAAGTATTTACCACTACACTTGTAACACTTGACTTTAGATTGGAAGTGTTTGAAAAGGTGTTTTATGCTTAGCAAGGCTGCATATTAGAATTTTTTAAGCAATTATTATTATTATTTTAGATTTTAAAATATAATGTATTCCCATGAAGGCTGTAAAGCTGATATCAATCAGCAGTGTTTACTGCAGTATGTTTTAATATTCTGATATGGTCCTCAAAATATCCTCAAATATACAGATTTTTTTTTCATAATTTTTTTTTCTCCAGAGTTCTTGCACGAAATAGATTATAAAAAATCTTTTGTAACATTAAAAATCCATGAAATGCATCCCAGCGAAGTAAAGCTTTTCTGCACGCTAATCAGCAGTGAAACAAACCTAGATATCAAATGAAAACAAAACAAAACAGAAAAAAATAAACAGTAAACTGGTATCAATATTATGAACCTACCCACCTCCCCCACCCCCCAGGATGCAGGACTAACTACTATTAATTTTAAGTAACATTTTAATTGTGTTTTAAAGCATTATATTGATATGTACATTTTATTAAGAAGAATATAGTTCTTTTCAGTCACAAATACAAAAATAAAAGAATAACCTATACATAAGACACTATAAAAGCATAAAAATTGTGCAAACTAAATAAGTCTTTTGAACACACACAAAAAAAATGAGAAAGTTATGAGTAATAGACCAGAGCATAAAAAACATCAGAACCTGGAAGGATCATTTCTTTCCCAAGGTCATCCTATATGGGCTTTTTATAATGATGATTTCTATTCATAAATGAAATAAAGTCAGTGGTAGAGTTAATAAATCATCACTTTAACATTGACTAAATTAGACTCATCGTGAAAATGTCAATTCTTAGGTTGTAATGTGTATTTTGTAGTGTGGTGTGATTCTGTGCATATCCTGCTGAAAAAAAAAAAAAAAAAAACATCACAGATGATTCTATTAATTCCCCCTAAAAATAACATTAACCATTAAAATCAGTTTTTGTATAGTGTATAGTTTGTTTTGGGAATATAATCTATTAGGATTTATTTGTTTTAACATGAAACTAATAGAAGACCATTATAGTTTCTATTAAACCAATATAATTTCCATAACCTGTGGGGATGTTGCATGAATGGATGATTCTGATTAGCTGATGAACATTCTAATTTGTGCTGATATTTCGAGATAAATGCACAGCTAATATTGTTCATGGCGTGTCTTTACCACATTATAGCTCTATAATAGCCAAATGATTTCATTTACAGTCAGAAAAGCTATCCCACTTTATATTGTGGCTTTAACTAATATGTACTTACACTGTAATTAATAATGTTACAATGTTTGAGTTAATACATGTTAATACATTGTACTTATGCTTGATTAAATGTCTGCATATAATTACATTTGTAATTACACTGTGGACCATCCTTTACTGTGCGTTCACACCAAAAGCAGCGAATGTATCAAAGTAGCCAGGAGTTATTCATTTTCAATGGGAGCCGCTGTTGATAACTGTCGAGCAGTGGCATGGTGCGACGCATGTTCGCTGGTATGAGTGTGGAGGAGAGTTAAAATCAAATCAACTTTATGGTAATGAGCTATGACGGGGTTCAGCGGCAACCAGTCGAAAATGTAGACGTCCACCACTTGAGAGGAGTCTAGAAAACATAGTCCTGTGAACTTTGGTTCCAACCACAGTTGTTTCCAAGAGTTTGATTATTGCAGTCACAGGATTTCCAATTATCTTACAATGTTTTGTTACAGGGACATACATTAAAAAAAAAAGTTACTGGTGAGTTACTGATGTGCATTAATGTTTTTTTTTTTTTTTTTTATAAAAGCGGGAATCTCATGCTAACCATCACGATAATACAAAACAGTATTGCTGCTTCAGAATATTTCAGACATTGACCCATAATAAATAAGTGAAGCAAAGCCACACCACACACAACAACTTGATCTCCCATAGTTAAATGAATTTGATCAACAACATTTTCATGCTAGAAAACTTGTTTTTATGTGGGAATGTAAAAGATTTGCTGCAATGGCCCCTTTAAATTTGAGATCAATGTAGAGAATTTTGACCCTGTCACCAGCGGATCAGTAAAGGCAGACAGTGTTGTTGCCAGGGCGGCCAGAGTGAACTTTGATGCTCTTGCCGCCTTTGGTGTTGCCGCACAGTTACACCTTAACCCACTCTTAAACCTACCCATACCACCAAACCTGTCTCCAACCGTACTCATACCCCACCTCAAGCGCACCAGAAGTGTTCTGTAATACATTGTGAACACAGTAAACAAAAATGCACTGTATTTATTTACATGTAAGTACATACAGTAGTTAAAGTCATTTAATGAACCCTTTTCACAAGACTGTTAGGATGCATTTAACAATCATCATAGTCTTAAATTCTTTAAAGTTTTTAAGATTTAGATTTTTTTTTAAAACATTTATATGCATTTATGAATGTATTATATCATCTTTGTAACAAATTACAAAAAATGAATTACTGCTTATGCAAGGTGTTTGTAATGCAGCATCTATGGGGCTAAGGGTAAATTTGACGGTATGCTCTTCCCTGGCTGCCGTCGTCAGTCTCACGCAATTATTTTTTTAATATTATATTTATAAAATAAAAAAATACTATATATATATATATATATATATATATATATATATATATATATATATATATATGAATATATTTGTTGGACATTCACTATCTGTGCTCTAAGTTTACCCAACTATGACGACTTGCGCTGAGAAACCCGGAAATGTGAGAAGGGTCTACATAAAGTGGAACCAGAAAATGTAATCAAAGCACGACAAAGCTTGTGGACAATATGTAAAATAAACTAGTCCCCCCACACAGGACTTGTTTAAGAGAAAAAAAACCTGACAAATATCTAAAATTAGATCTGAACAACATCTCTAAGTGTGGTAACCAGCATTTAATATGACTATAATTGACAGAACAATGGCCAATCATCATTTATTCCATAATAAAACTGACAAAACCATTAGAACTTATGGTAATAATTACTTTTTTTTTTCTATTTCTTTTTTCTATTCCTCTTTAATTCTTTTTACAGAATGGCTGTTTACTTGACACCAAGATCGTACAAAGAAATGAAGAGCGGCTGATTTCCCCTAACCCTAATTGTGGGATGAGCAAATCATACTAAAATGAACGAATGGAATCTTAGAAATTAAAAGTTACAAATGGACTATATGCACAGCTGTTTTTTCAGTCATTGATGAACTTGAGGGGAAAGCTTAATGTGACTATTTTTAAAGTTTTTACGGTTCTTTTTATAGCATTGATATTGTAATGTAATTCAAATATAACTAGTTAAATCGACTTAAGCATTCATTTGATTATTAAAGCATAAAAATGTTTAAACGCTGGCGCCACAGGTAGCAGCAGGTTAGCGCAGAAATTCCATTGAAAATACTGAGGTAATATTCATTTTAATTTATTGCAGTGCTTCTTGTTTGATCTGACACCCACTGTCTTTATATTGTGTCTTAGCCAGGCAGTTAAGATCGCTGTTATTTTTTTTTTTAAGAAATCAGATAACGTAAACACTGCAATTTTGTTTGGGATGACAATTAACCAGAAGCTCTAGGGGTGGCTGACTGAAATGAAAAGTCTGTGTGCATGTACTGTACCCCATTCCCATGAGACTGTTTGTACAACAAAACATAAAAGATTGTAAAGTTGTGTTTGCCAGAAATTTTGTTTTACTCTCAGTTAATTGGTAAAATCAAAAGAAAAGTCGTGTTGAATTGTTCTTGCAGGTTCTGATGTTATCATGCAACCCTCTATATAAGATTCCTTTGAATAAGTGCAGGCAACTCCACCCATCGAGTTATCCTAAATAAAATGAAAGAAAAACCCTGTTACAGACAGAATGTTCTTGGAAATCTGTTGCATCATGGCTTGACAAGGTCTCTCATCCTGGCCAGCTTAAAAGTTTTCAAGACCCTTCCAAAAATCCAGACATATCCAACCAGCCATATAGTCAAGGTTTAGACTGTTCATGCCATCAGCTTTATGTACTGGCTGTTCACACTGCTTTTCAAAGTCTCCAGATTACTTGACCTTGTGCTGGAGGTGAACTGTGCGCTCCTTTCAATACCAGGGACCCCCTGACATCTGAGAAAAGCAAGAACTTGTTTTTGGCACTGAGAAGAACCAAAATAATAGATGAGGGGGTCCAGACAGCAGCTGATGCTCCCCATACACATGGAGACCAGGTAAGCGGCATAGGACGCGTCATTGTGCTTGTAAGCAAACCTCACATAATGTGACAGTAAGATGATGTTTGTTGGTGTAAAGCATATGACAAAAACTGCAAAAACTGTTACGGCCATAATAACAGCCCGCGTTTTCTTCGCGCGGTTTTCCACGTTTGCCGCGCACAAGGCTTGGATGATGCGCAGGTAGCAGACGGTGCTAAAAATGAGCGGGATGAAGAAGAAAAGCGAACAGAAGATTGGAAAGAAGTACAGGTAATACTCGCGGAGAAGCTGGATGTCAAGGACGTCGTGGCAGGTGGTTATGCCCAGGTCAGGTAGGTGAATGGTCTGATTGGAAATGAGCAAAGGTGTCACTCCGCCAACAGACAGAAGCCACATGGCGGCGCAGGTGACAGTCGCGGTTTGGGGACTTCGCCAAGTGAGCGAGTCCATCGGGTAGACGACAGCCAGAAAGCGATCCACACTAATGCACATAATCAGCAGCACAGAACAGTACATGTTGCAGTAAAAAGCAGCAGTGACAACACGGCACATCCCGGCTCCGTATATCCAGTTGTTTCCGTTGTAGTTGTAGGCTATCCTAAAAGGAAGCAGCAGAACAAACAGAAGGTCTGCGCAGGCTAGATTCATCATGTAAATCGCCGCCGGTTTCTTGGGTCTGACTTTGCGCGCGAACATGACCAGCGCCAGCAGGTTGAGAGGCGCGCTGATGATGAACACTATTATGTATATAGTCGGGATGACAGCGGTCGCCACGCGGCCTGTGAGGAAGCTCGAGGCCTCTTGAGAGATGTGATAAGTCTTTTTAGCCGGGGGGTGGAGGTGCTCTTTCCTGAGTGTTGGTTCTTGACCCGAACTAAAGCCGCTTCCCCCCTCCTGCACGTCCAGATAATCAAACGGCTCATCAGTGACGGTGAGGAAAAATCCCGAAAATGAGCGAATAAATGTTTCTGAAAAAAAAAAAGAAAAAACGTGTTTACATTCATTTTTTGCAGCATTTAATCATTGTAACATTAAAAGTTATTTTAACTTAATTCATGCATCAAATAATTTTATACTTTTTTGTTAGGCTATTTTCTTTCTGTTCATGTTTTATTATATCTCTTTGTCATGTTAGCTAGAATTCCTGTTGCAGAGAAAAAAAAAATTAATTTGCTGAATTCCATAGCCTATTTATTTCCATGTTTAGAATTTACAATTAGCAGCGTTTTAGCTATTCATTAAAACAATTATTATTTTGTTTTTATTATATTGTTTTTATATATGTAATTATTATATTGTTAATATAGTAGTACAAGCATTGCTATTCATTTATCTTTTTAAACGTAGCCTATATCTAATACCAATATTTCATACCAAAATAGGCTACTTCACTTTTCAAGTTAAACTTTAAGGGATTTCGTTATTATTGCATTACGTTTTATGCGATTCATCGTGTATGCTACATGCCACTGTGTTCTACAGGCCTATTTTAATGAACTGAGCTCACATATTTTATTCTGATAAAAGAAAGTCTGTAAGCGTCTTACCGTTGTTCGGCAGCGCAGACGCAGAGCCGTTCAGAGCCAGCAGACCCGTCACCAACAGAACCCGCAACATCACGACTCAAACACCGCAGCGCAAATTGATGAAGAGAGGGTGAGAACAGAAAACTCCTTTCCAGAATGATCTTGAACCCGCGCTCAACAGCAGACACCAAGAACTACTAGAGGTGGAGAATTCTGTTTTTCTGTGGCGCAAATGTTGACGCCTACTCGAGCAACACACATGTGAAACCCAGCAACACAGCAGGGACTAGTTCATGCTTGATATCAGAAGAACATTTATAGTTTTAATGGTGGGGTTTTTCACTGTATACTGTGTTTTAATCAATATAAAAAGTGTCTAATATTTTTTTCTTACTAGATTTTATTTGAATTCCACAATGATAAGTTTATTTTTATTTGCACCTTAGAAATATTTTACTACTATTACTATTATTGTTATTATTTTAACACATTTATTAGCCTTTTTGCTTTTTAGCATTTATAAAATTTTTGTTTGGGTAATAGAAGTTATACTACTAGTACTATTTAACAGGGTACAAACATGTTTATTTAAGATATTGTTTGTAAAAAACAGAAAACCCAAAGGTGTCATAAAGTTATTCTTATGAAGTAACTATGTTTGGTGAAACAGAGTTTCTAGTATTTGCCCTTTAGGAGCACCAATGATTTGTTTTGTTTATTATTATTGTTTAACAGTGTAGACTTTCATTCATCTGTTAATTCCCTGAATGCAAATCTGAGGCAAATCAAATTCACTCATCTCTCAAAGCCAAAGCGTTTGTTCAGTATGGAGTTTGCATGCTTGCAAATTGTATTATCGGAAGAAAGTGAGTGTATGGACAAAAATACATTGAAATGTATTTTAAATTAAAATACCAAATAGCTTAATTTCCCATGTATCAAAATAAACTACAAAATACAGCAGCTACAACAAATATCAAAATAAAATACTGTATTTTGAAATTCTTCCTACTACAAAATACTTTCACATGGGAGTAAAACAGTTCCTTGCAAACGTGCTATCAATAGGCATATGCGATCAATCCTTTGACCATTAAACTTACATAATAAGGTAAACAGTGAGTATGTTTACATGGACAACAATAATCCGATTTTAATACGATAAAGACAATACTCTGATTAAGAGTCAACCATGTAAACAGATTTTTGATTAATCTGATTAAGGTCATAATCAAACTAAACAGAACTCGAATTGAGACATGTGAAGTATGCCGATTTTAGTGGCATTATTGAAGTGCAGCACAGACATGTAAACACCGCAATCAAACTATTACCATCATGTTGGACTTTTCACAGCGTTTTGCCACAGGATATTCCAGACTGTTTGACACTGCACCTACTGAGTCAGTGAAGGACCACTGACACCTGCAACGCGAAATGCAGAGATTTTTCCTTTTCAATCGGCATGCGGTATCAAATTCTATTAAAACAACACTCTTCCACCAGTCTGTGAATCCAATACCTCAGTTTATCATGCCGGGCAGCGGGGACAAGAATGAAATCTTCCTGAACGAAAGTGAAACTGTAGCCAGTCAAAAAATTTTAAATAAAATGTCCGAAATTACACTAAAACAGCTGAGGAAACGCGGATAATGTAGTAAAGCAATGACAATCAAATATTTGCTATAACATGTAAAACGGTATCATGGAAGGAACATTCAAAAAGTAACTCTTATAAACACCTTAATCAAATTATTGTCAATTGAATTAATGCAAATAATTAGATTACTGATGTCCATGTAAATGTGGTCACTGTTTGTTAACAATAACATTTTTCTGAGCAAGTTTAAGTCAGTCACTGAAGGACTTATTTTTATGCTGTTTGTCGTATTTTCTTAGCATCTACAAAAGCAATTCATCCAAAACTACTATTATATGTGCAGTTTACTCATTCTCCCAAGATTTTTTTAGTTCTCATTTACCTGGAAAAGTCTCAGTTAACCCCCTTAGTGAACACCAGTAAAGCATCTTTTATTCATTCATTTTATTTTCGGGCAAGTCCCTTTACTACTCTGGGGTTGCCACAGCAAAATGAACTGCCTACTGCATCTTTAGGTGTTTTATTATTCTAAAGTTTGTCTGAATTTCCACCTGAGAATGAGAGACTGAGATTGATTTTGAGCTAAAGGCTCCCCATCCTGTTCTTAAGGACTGACATTTTATTCCATCTCCTTTCTTAAACAAAGATGCATGATTTCCATCCATACTACAAGCATTGACCCCCCTGTGATCAATTTTCTGTTCTGACCTCAAGCTCAGGCAAATAACTGAGAAAGCATCAGCCTGACACTGCATTATTATGGTCATCATGTAGACTTCTTGCAAAGTATTTTACAGTTTTTTAAAAAATATAAAAATACAAGACCCTTTGGTATTTTGACAGAAAATATGAACCCAATTGGTTAAAACCTATCGAACACAAATTAAAAAACACTATTTTGGATTTATAATACTTGTTTTATAAATACTGCCCCTCCCTGAGTGTAGGTAAGAGGTGTAGAGTCTATTATTGATTGTAATGCAACTTGGGATTGCCAAACTAAGGTGATTTCATATGTCAGTCATTTTTTTGTTTGTTTTTTTTGCTTGATCCTACATCAATTTTGAACAAGATGAATTTGGCAATTGCATGAATAATTGTTTATTGTTTGACTTACAAAAATATAAAAACACATAGTTGGTCCCTTGGGGCACAAAATAAATAATAAATAAAATATTATTAATAAATATCACCAATAAAGCAAAATAAACACACCATTTTCTAGATGTATGATAATTATATTTATTAAAATCAATAATATTACTTCATCTCATAACAGAACATTTATATATATATATAAAAAAACACTACTTTTAAAATATCATTTAAAATATATGCACAGTTGAGCACATAGAAAGTTAAGGCACTAGTTAATGACAGGCCTGTGACGGCTCCTCCAGTTTATCATATTAATCAGCCACATGGCAGTAGTGCATTACTGAAATCATGTTATTCATTTTTAACATATTAAAACATTACAGCTTGCAACACATTACTTGTCATAACAATTGTCAATTATGCTCGTATTTAAAAATATAATTCATACACAATTTTCCAAAAAACTAAAAGAGAAGGAATTCCAGTCATTAAACATGTTGTGAACATTTGGTGCTTTGATTATGGTTCGAACACATTTCATTTCACTAAAAGTCAAGTCAGAAGTATGTTTCATATGTACAGCATGGCATGTATCATATTCTTAGAGTGGTAAGATTTCCTTTTAAAGTAAATTAAATACAAAAAAAAAAAACAGTTGCACAAATTCCCCTGCACGGGCAGAGTCATTTCATTTATAAAAACATCTAAAACAAACAAAGGCACATTCCATTATTTTCTGTGCAATCCGTGTAAACTAACATATCTAAAACAGGAGTTTGATAGCTAGTTAATATTTCCAAACATATTTGCACTGAATGAGCTCTGAAAGATGATTATTTTCCATAGAACTTTTTGTTCAAAAGGAAGATCAAGAGGTTGACGTTGACTTTGGCCTTGTCAAACATTTTCATGACAGCTACTCCCTCATACTGAAGCTGCAACAGGTCCTGATAATAATAATAAAACAAATAACAAGATATATTAAAAAAGTTTCTGTTGTTATTCATCCATACATGCAATTCCAGATAATAAAAGTAATGTCCTGTATGGGAGAAGAAAATGAGTGTGCCAGGCTCTGCTGGGAACTTGGGAACTGACCTGGAAATGCAGTTGCACCTTCTCCATCTCAACTCCCATAAACTTGGCCTTTATCTCAAAGTCACCCACTTCCTCACAAGGGCAAATGTCGAACATGACATTTTTAAACCTGAAATGTACAAAACACCGACTGAAATACTGGAATAGGTGGAGCTTAATACATCAAATAACCTTGCAAATAAAACATGTTCTTTGACACCAAATTAAAGGACTAAATCACTTAACACAAAAATAATATCTCTTTGATCTGCCTTCTGGGATCTGAGATAGGAAAAATAGTTGGCTTGACATTTGTTAAACTCCCGTTTGGACTGCACGAGGAAGAGAAAATTGAGAACTCACTACAACAACAAACTGCTGACATTCTTTGAAAAGACATTTTGTGCAATATGTCCACTTATCTGGGGTCAGTTCAGTTATCATGCGTTTGATTTTGGAACAGTGTGAAGTTCCTCAAGATACAAATGTGTTAGCAATAGATTGAAAAAGCGGAATAATGTACTGATTAATCTGGACGCCTTCAATCTCCAGAATGACTCCTTTCTCGTGTAGTTTGGCAGCTGTGTATTTCAGTGACGAGGCCTTGGACTTCTTGCTGCCCTTCTCCTCATCTTTTCTGTCCAGTTTGATTGACCTCCGTGAATTCCTAATGAAGAAATAACCATTGCTGAAACATGGGCCATAAAGGAAAAGACATTATACATGTCCCGGTTTTAAAGCTATTGTGTAATGTTATGTACAAAGACACAATTGTGCCTCTTAATAATCCTAATAGAGATATATTGTATATATAAAAAAAATGAAACAAGTGAAATGAAATGAGAAAAATGGTCAAATGAACATAAGGACAAGACAAACACCTCGCCCGCCACGCAGATCATCGTTTCTGGGCCGCTTCCTACCTACCGCCGAGGAAATGAAAGGTTCAGTAGACTTTTAGCTCTGAATGAATGGCTAATAACATGGTGTAAAGAACAAAAATTGCTCTTTGCTAATAACTGGAATCTTTTCTGGGAGCGTCCTAGGCTCTTCCGTCCTGACGGCCTGCACCCCAGTCGAGCCGGAGCTGAACTCCTGTCGGACAACATCTCCAGACTACTTCGCACCATCTGACTAGCAGGTAAAAATTCACACTATAGCCACCTAGACTCTTGTTCACCCCACTTAAACATCAGTAACGCATATCTGGCGAATCCTATAGAGACTGTGTCTGTTCCTCGTATTATTAGATTAAGAAATAAACGTACTGTGTGCTCCAGAAAAAATCTATTAAGAATCAAACCAGAAAAACCAGT